TGGTAAACAGAATATGGTATATACACCCAATGGATTATTATACTGCCTTTAAAAAGGAAGGAGATTCTGACACATTCCACACTATGGATGAACCTTGAAAAATATTACACTAAGTGAGAAAAGCCAGATATGAAAGAACAAATAGTATATAATTCTGTTTGTAAGGGGTACTTCAAATAGGCAAACTCATAAAAAGCAGAATGCAAGTTGTCAGGTGCTGAGGGGAGGAGAGAAAAAGGAAGTTATTGTTTCATGGGCACAGAATATCTGTTTGGGATGATTGGAAAAGTTCAGGAGTGGCATAGTAGTGATGGTTGATATACATCATTGTGAACATAGTGCCACTGAGTTGTACACTTGGTTAACATTTCAGCACAAAAAGCATATATATAGGAATGCTTTATCAGAGGTTCTTGTAAACCCAGGAAGGGGAGATGAGATGTAGGATGCAGGACCTAGACCCTGGGATCCTTGCTCAAAGAGAAACTCCATAGAGGCTCCTTTTATGGACTTTTCTATATAGATCAGTAGAGCCTTTGATGACTTCTGTCTGTGAAACAAGCAATTTGGATCTTATATTGAGACCGTTAGTCTGTGGAGGTTCTTGCTCCTAAACATTTGCTTATCCCAACTTAGTTCTTTGTTTCTGTTTTATGAACTGGCCACTATTTCTAATCTCTACCTTTGTGTTTCTAAAGTAGAGGTCATTTAACTTCTATTGTCCCTAAGCTGAAGAAGTTGAATTTTTTTTTTCACTTGGACCTTTGTTCTTTCATATTTTGTTTAGCCTACCCAGTAGCTTAAGAAGTATTCTTTTTACTCTTTCATTGCAAGGATCATTTGAAAATATTAGTTCTCTAGTTCTTTTTTCTGAAAATTAGGTAGGATTTTCTATTGAATAGACCAATAAATGAAAAACATGGATGAGTAACAAAGAGGTCCATCTGGTACTGAAGAAGCCCTCAGATCCTGAGCCTGGCACTAAAGCATCTGTCCACATCTCCTTCAGCCTGGCTATCCTTAGTGCTCCTGCCCCTGCTAAGCCCACATCAGGGCACAGCTTTCTCCGTTGTCTTCCATAATATATGTTGAGCCTTCGAGTGTCTGTTCAGACCTTCTCTTTGTCACAAGACCCTCCCAACTCTCCCCTTAATCTCACACTATACTTTGTGTGTACTTTGTAAAGAATTTGAAGATTATGCAAAGACAGCACAAAGCAAATGTAAGTTACACATAATCTAATCAGTTTATTTATTTATTTATTTTAAGATTAATTTATTTTTGCATACAGAACTGGGGTACAAGCCAAAGGTCAGGGGCAGTGAGAGGATTCACCAGAGACAGAGGTGGGAGCAGAACAGGCTAACTGGTGAAGTACACTGCTGAGGGGAGCAGCCGGCGGGTCAGGAGAGGTCTGCCATGCCATGTGGATCACCTCAGGAGTGGGGTATCGAACTCATGCTGAAGTGGCTTTAGCTTCTTAGTGCTGTGCTTTAACCTACTGTGCCACCAGGGAGGGCCCTCAGATCAGTTTCTTAAATGCTTCAGTTTTCACCATTAAAAAGTTTTTTATACAGAATTGGATCAATAATAAAAAATTTAAGTATAAAAATTAGGTTTGTTATTTTTTTACTTAGTCAAGTCATAAACACTTGCCTTTGTTATTGACTGTTCTTTGAAAACCTGATTTTTTTATTTTATAACAGTTTATTTTTATATCATTTTGTACATTTTTTTTTTCCATCTCAATTGTAATCTCCGTGGGTTTCCCATCACCATGTCACCCGAGTGCCATTACCAAAATCCCGTGCACTTCCCTACCCCCCACCTCCCCACCCCCATTTTTGATCCCATTCCCTACTCCACCCCCACAAAATGTCTCTGGTATATGGTTGTTCATTATTTTTGTTATTTTCTCACCTGGTCCATTATACTCCTGCTATGAGTGAAACCATCCGGTATTTTTCTTTCTCTTTCTGGCTTATCTCACTAAGCATGATCTTTTCCAGCTCCATCCAAGTTGCTGCAAAAGACATGTGGAAAACCTGATTTTTAAAAAAAGTTTAATTTAGGTGTTTTACTTACCATTGCAAACAGGCAAAAAATATACATGTCAATAGATTAATAGTGGTTATTCCTATGTGATGGGGTTAGGAATAATTTTAATGATTTTTTAATGTATTTTATATTCTCTGTATGTCCTTTTTTAAATATCATTTTTAATAACAGCAAGATATTCCATTATCTAGCTACTTTGTAAGTTATGTAATAAATTTTCTTTTTGTGGACTTCAAGATTTTCTTTCCTTAATTTACATAACACTGTCTTGTACATCTTTAAACTAATTTCTTTTTCAAAATTTCGATTTATTTTCTTGGGATTAGTTATTCCCAGAAGTATAATAAATGGGTCAGAGGGCCTCAGATTTTTAAAAAAATAATATAATAGTTTATTTTACATCATTTTGTGCCTTTTTCCATCTCAGTTGTAATCCCCATGGGCTTCCCATCACCAAATCACCCATGTGCCATCACCATAGTCCAGAGCACTTACCTCTCCCCACCATTTTTGATCCCATTCCCCACTCCACCCCTGTAAAATGTCTCTGGTATATAGTTGTTCATTATTATTATTACTTTCTCGCCTGGTCCATTATACTCCTGCCATGAGTGAAACCATCAGGTATTTTTCCTTTTCTTTCTGGCTTATTTCACTAAACATCATCTTTTCCAGCTTCATCCATGTTGCTACAAAAGGCATGTGTTTATTTTTTTGGTTGCTAAGTAATATTCTATTGTGTATACGTGCCACATCTTTTTAATCCAGTCATCTACTTTTGGGTATTTGGGTTGTTTCCATGTCTTTCCAATTGTAAATAAAGCAGCAATAAACACGGGGGTGCAGGTGTCTTTTTGAATCAGTGTTTTAGTGTCTGTTGGGTAGATACATAGGAGTGGGATTGCTGGGTCATATGGAAGTTCCATTTTTAGGGCCTCAGATTTTTTTTTTTTAAAGATTTATTTATTTGTGCATACAGAACTGGGGTGCAGGCCAGAAGTTCAGGGGCGGTGAGAGGCTTCACCAGAGACAGTGGGGAACAGAACAGGCAGATCTACGAAGTACACTGCTGAGGGGAGCAGCGGGCGGGTCAGGAGAGGTCTGCCACGCCATGTGGTCACCTCCAGGGCAGGCGGGAATCGAACTCATGCGGAAGCGGCTTTTAGATTCTCAGTGCTGTGCTTTAACCCGCTGCGCCACCGGGGAGGGCCGGGGCCTCAGATTTTTAAAGATTCCTCAGGTTTGATGCTTTATTGCTTTCTAGAAAACTTGACCATTTATATTTTTAATTATTGAAATTATCTAATTTAGAAGTCCATAAAAAGATATGTCTTGTTTGATATTCATTTTTAAATCATTATTGAAGTTGAATGTGTTCCCTGTATCTGTTAATCATTAATAGTTCTACTCTGAGTAATCTTTTTGTTTATTTTGCCCAGTATTAAGTTGGTATTTAGCATAGCTCATATCAATTTCTAAGTTTTTGTATATATTAAAGATTTCTTTCTGTGGCAGTCATTTATTGTAAAATTTCCCCATTTTTTCCTTTAATTTTTTACAAATTAAATGTATTTTTGAGGAACATTTTTTTTATGTAATGTGAATGACTACATTTATCAATTACCATGTGCTGGGCATTGAACAAAACTATAAATGAATTGGCTCATTTTATATTTTGTATCCTTAGAATGCAATATTTTCCCATATAGATGAAGAAATTGAAGTTCAGGATCATATAGCGATTAAATGAATGAGCTGGGATATGAATGAATGAGCAAACTTGTGTTGTGGTGCCATGGTTTAGAATTTTGAAATATGCTTGCGTTGTCATAAGAGCTTTTAAGCTTGCCAGTTTTATTATATTTTTAATGTTTTGAATAGGCAATACATTCTGTTAAAAAGTACTAAAAGCAATGTTTTATAAATCTCCTCCCACCTCTGTTCCCTCTCCACCTACTTCTCACTGTATTCCCCACTGCTGCTCCAGATACTCATCATAATAGTGTCTTTTGTAACTCCCAGGCTTTCATGTACTGATACAAGCAAATATGTATATCATTCTCATCCTGCTCTCCTCCTCTTTTAAAAAAAATTGGGTTAAGCGTGGTCATTTAGGGTGTTTGCTTCTGGTATATAGTAAACCACAAAGTAATTCTCTAATTATATATATTTTTTAAAGATTTATTTATGTATGTATACAGAACTAGGGTACAGGCCAGAGGTACAGGGGGGTGGTGGGAGGATTCACCAGAGACAGAGTGGGGAGCAAAACAGACTGACTGAGGAAGTACACTGCTGAAGGGAGCAGCGGGCAGGTCAGGAGAGGTCTGCTGTGCCATATGGATCATCTCCGGGGCGGGGATCGAACTCATGCTAAAGTGGCTTTTGCTTCTTAGTGCTGTGCTTTAACCTACTGTACCACCTGGGAGGACCCTGAATTATCTTTTATCTTGGAGAGATTTTCATGCAGAAAATTCTCTTAATTTAGATAGTAATTCCACATTGAAATCAATTTCTGGGCCCAAACTCCAGCAGCACCAGATCTCATCTAACCAACAGAAGCTGCACTTTCAATTAACTATCATACATCATAAGGAATAAAGCCAAAGGACCAATGCAGGGAGCTCTCAAGAACAATTTCTTACTCTCAGAGGTTCTAGAAAAGTATATTAGCAAAAGGTATTATGTGTACTATGTCTCAAGGAAATGCTGCTTTCTTCTTTCTCTTTAGAGTCACTGGGGATAGTCATACCAGAATGTCCATTTAAGGCGCTTTCTGGAATGCTTTTGCTAAGTGTTCTTTGAGGACAAATGCCTGGAGAAGGGGCACTGGCAGAAGTAAGAGTACAGAGAGGACCTATTTCCCCCCTCCCTCCTGAAGTCACTTGTTTGGAGAGTTCTGATTTTTTTTTTTTTTTTTTGCCAACATTTTTCCTCCTCAGGTACTGGCGGAGGACGCTGGGCATGCAGGTCCGCTATGCTCACCATGAAGACTACCAGTTCTGTTATTCATTCCGGGGCAGGCCTGGGCACAAACCTTCCATTCTTATGCTCCATGGATTCTCTGCACACAAGGATATGTGGCTCAGTGTGGTCAAGGTACATGTAATTCCAGATTCTTCTTTCAAGATGGTGTCACTCAGCAAAGGGTTTCCCCTTGGATTTGATACTATTAGCCATGGTAGAAAGCAAAGAGAAGCCAGAATTACAGCTCTCAAGTCATCTGGCAGCTAATGCAACATAGTATTCGATTTTGTAAATGATAAATTTTGTCAGAGAAAATCTGACTTGAACGTTATTTTTAAAAATCTTCAAAATCATTTCAGCTTATGAATATCTCTTAGGGAAGGTTTCTGATACCTTCATCTTAAGAACTGACAATATCAGACTGTTAAGGTCAAGTGTTTAAAAAATTGTATGTTCCGTTATACTTCCAAGTTTCTCTTCTTTCCCTTCCTTCTTTCTTTTCGCCTTCCCTCCCTTTTTCTGCCCCTGGACTTCTGCTTTTCTTTTTCTTTGGCTTAGTCATTTAAAAAAGTAGTCGATCTGGCAGCTTTCTGGGCTAGTTTTTCAAATCAGTCACTTTCTTGTCCTGTGGTTTGATGACTTGCTTTGCTTGTTAAGAGAGTTGAGCTGGTAAAGGTTGGAGCTAGGTCTTGGAGGGAGGCCTTCTAGGGTCCCATATCAAACAGAACCATAGGCCCCCTGGCATCCTGTATTGTGCATACTTAGAAGGAAAATGTTCACTCTAGTTATCTGGGTCCTTCCTCCTGCCGGATTCTACTCTCAGAAAAGTCACCCTTTGTGAGCCTCCCACGTCTTGTCCCCACTTCAGTATGTGTCTTTCATATAACTGGATATTTATTTCTTGATAACCGGTATTTTTTATTTCCCTGGTTAAAAGTGACTCATATTTAAAATGAAAGAAGGTGCATTCGAATAATAACCACCCCAAGAATTAAACTTGCTTAAGAGAAAATTTGAAACCAGACGGAGGCTTTTAGGGATGTAGTTGGTGTCCCTTAGTAACTTGGTTCTGAAGCTCTCTGAGATCTGGGAGGCCAGAACCATCCATTTCATTCCAGATCAGTGGCTGCATGGCTGGAATAATTGTGTAAGGGATGAGGGAAAGGAGAAGGCTGTAGCACCTGCTGGCAGGTATCAAGAAGAATAAGAGACTCAAGCTGCTCCTCTGATCATTGTCCTCTTTGACCAGTCTTTCCCAAACCTCTTCCTTCTTGTGGTTTTGGGGCTTGTGTTCTCTGTGAGGTTACTGGCAGTGCTTATTCACATCAGATGTTACTGGGGTTCAATTCTGGTGGCTCAGGCCTATATGCATCCTCAGGAAAGCCATCTGGGTTACTTGTTAAGTGGGTGCAACCTCCCCAGAGAAGTACAGAGAAGTAAGCAAACGTATTCTACATGTCACATTCTGACTCTCTGGGCCTGTGTATCCTCAGTTCCTTCCAAAGAACCTGCATTTGGTTTGCGTGGACATGCCAGGACATGAGGGCACCACCCGTTCCTCCATGGATGACCTGTCCATAGATGGGCAAGTCAAGAGGATACACCAGGTAAGCAGGAAGCTCCATTAGAAATTGTCCATAAGGGGTTTTGCCGCCACAGCATGCCCAAACCTGGAGAGCATGTAACAGACTCTTACTGACTCGTAACCAGTGGCTAGTGCATTCTTTCTGCAACTGTTAGCAAAATGACTTCCCAGTGGTATTCTTGGTTGACTGTGGAAAGCCAGAGTTTATTGTAGACTGTTCCTCTCTATGCCTAATACTTTTGTTTCTGATAATCTGGGCTTTTTCTCAGCTCTTTCAAAAAGGACTTAAGAATTCTCAAGACCATTTCCCTAGAGTCTCTTTTTCTGCTTACCAGCTGTATGATGACAGTAGTAATCCCTCTGCCTAGATTTTGTTTTATTTTAGCAACTATTTTCAGCCCCTCCCAGCTAGACTGTTAAGGACATGGAGCTCATGCACAATTCTAGAATTTAGTAATCTATAAGTTTAAAATTGATGTTTAGGGCCTGATGTTTAGGTATAGTCCCCTTATAAAGACATTGATGTCTTACACACACACACACACACACACACACACACACACACACGCCCCAAATTATTCTAATGAGGTCAAGAACCTTGGCTCTTTGCTCTGTCCTCTGCAGCTGACTATGTATATGATGGATATCTAATGATTATTTTTTGTACTGATGAATATAGGTGGGTGGATAGATAGATAAATACTTGGATGGTTGAATAGACAAATGGATAGGTGGGTAGTTATATAAATGGACAGTTAGACCTGTCAGAGGGCATTAAATTAGGGCAAGTGTCAGCATACTATGACCCAGGGGCTTGAATTGGCCTGCCTTCTAGTTTTGTAATCTAGGTTTTATTGAAACACAGTAGTATCATTCACTTATGTGTTGTCTTTGGCTTCTCTTGGCAGCAGAATTGAGTCATTGCAACAATGTCATATGGCCCACAAAGTAGGATATATTTCCTTTGTAAAAAAATATTTACTCCATAGAAAAGTTTGTTGATTCATGAGTTGGCAGATTTTCATTGGTTTTATACATATAAGTCACTCCCTAGTCACTAGGGTCAGGTAAAAGCCTGTCTGGATAATGAATGCAGAATTTTAATCCCCTTTCATCAATAACTCTTCTTGTCCTCATAGGAAATACCAGGGATTTTTGTTCCGTAATCACATTGTTACTATCTATCGTCATTAAACCAAAGCTCCTTCCCTTTTTTCCCCACTCAAGTTTTATTAATTTGCCAGTTGTTTTCATATCTGTATCATTTTGAGAGTAATACTTCACTCCCTGATGCATGCATATGCTTCACTCGCCCTCCACCAAGATCCACTGTGAATGTCTTACCACCTACTCTCCCCTCACTCTTCTGCCCTCCTCACCCCCTCTCATATATATATTATAGTAAAAACTTAGTATAAAATTATTATAGTATAATTTTTTACAAAGTCTAAGAACTTGTTGTATTTTTCCATTTGGGGCTTTTTTGGGGTTATTTATATTCTGCAAAAGAGTGAAGCTATCTGGTAACTCTCTTCTGCTTTTCAGCTTACCTTATTGAGCACAGTCACCTCAGGATCTCACCATTATGTTCCAAGTGGCACTATTTCAACTTTTTGAAATAGCTCAGTGGTATCCCACTGAGTATATAGTCTACAATCTCTTTGTCCCATCACCGGTCATTGGGCACTGGGTTGCTTTTATAAGTTGGCTATTGTGAACAGTGCTGCTAGGAACACAGAACTACATACATATTTCATATTAGTGAATTCACATCATATTAGTGTTTTAGTGTTTTCAGATTATTTTTAAATACCTTCCAGTAGAATTGCCAGATCATATCTTTTTTTTTTTTTTTTTTTTGAGGAATCTCTGTTTTCCACAGAGGCTGCTCCAAATTACATTCCTACCAACAGTGGATGAGTGTTCCTTTCTCTCCACATCCTCATCAACATTTGTTTCCAGTCTTTTTGATATAGGCCACTCTCACAGGTGTGAGGTCATTTTTCATTGTAGTTTTGATTTGCATTTCCCTAATAATCAGTGATGTTAAGAATTTTTTCACAGGCCAGCTGGATGTCTTCTTTGAAAAAGTGTCTACTTAGGTTTATTGTCCATTTTCTGACTGGATTAGTTTTTTTGTAGTGGTTGCGTTTTATAAATTCTTTATATATTTTCGAAAATAAGATGTGTGACGGGCAACTATTTGCTCTTGGTCCACAGGTTGCCTTTTAGTTTTTGTGGCATCTTTCTCATTGTAGATGCTTTTTTTAGTTTGGTGTAGTCTTTTTTTTTTTTTTTTTAATTTCTTGCCATTGGAACTGTGTCCCAAAATATATCTATGTAGTTGATATCTAATAGTGTATCACCTGTGTTTTCTTTTAGACACTGGTCTTATATCAAAGTTTTTAATCCATTTTGAATGAAATTTTGTGATCTACTTTCATTATGTTCCAGGTGGCTGTCCAAGTTTCTCAACACCATTTTTTAAAGAGGTTTTCCTTAATCCATTGTATGATCATGGCTCCTTTGTCAAAGGTTAACTGTGCATATTTATATGGGTTTGTTTCTGGGCTCTCTATGTTATTCCCTTGGTCTGTGTTTCTGTTTTTGTTCCAGTATCATGCTGTTTTGGTTACTAGTGCTCTATTATATAGCTTGGAGTCAGGCAGTATGATAACTTCATTTTGCTTTTTTCCCTTTCCTATCCCTTGCCATTGGAATTGTGTTTATTTTAGGTCCTTTATGGCCCTGTATAAAATTTATATTTGTTTTATCCAAACCACCTTCTCATTTCCCTGCTTAGTTTGTAGAATGCCTCAAGCTAAACAAAAAGCCTTTCCATCTGGTTGGCACCTCCATGGGTGGCCATGTGGCTGGGGTGTATGCTGCTTGCTACCCATCGGATGTCTGCAGCCTGTCCCTTGTGTGTCCTGCTGGTAAGTCACAAGGCTAAAATATCCCATGAGTGAATCAAACATAGTGGGGCATGAACCTAGAAGAGCCAGTGTCCTCTATGACATTTTAGAATCATCTTTTTTGATGTGTACTTCCAAGGTATGAAATACTTTAGTGATTATTTACCAGACAATAGCTGTATAACCATCCAGACTTTTAAAATATAGAGCCAGCTCATTTCACAAAAGTTTTGAGATGGTTAATTTAAAAGTATTTGGTACTTTGCAATATATAAATATTCTTAAATATAAAAATAATATTGACATTTGGCATTGATTTGGCTCTTTTTAGCGAAATGCTTTATATTTCCATAAGCTCTTTATATGAATTTAATTCTCACCATAATCATACAAAGTATAGTTTTGATTATGTTCCTCCACTTTCTTTTGAAAACTCAGAGGTCTTTATTCATTATAAGATCTTTTTGAGAAAAAATGAATAGTTTAGTTTCTCTGTATACACACACAGCTATGTGAGCAATTACATGTCCCCAGAAGTTATGATCTGAAGCTAATTTATTTAAATACATTTTTGTCTTGGACTTATAATGTGCTAGAAAGAAAGTTTTTAATTTTTTCTTATTTCCTTGTTTCCTCTCTTTGATTCTTTTTAGGGGTATGATTACATACAGGATATTGCCCAAATTTTAAGTTATTTCAATTGCTTCTTACATGTGTAATTACTATGTAGATCAAGATATCATACTCATTCTAGGGTTAGAAACATTGAGGCACAAAAAAAATTCTGTAAGTTCAAGAGCTGAGATAGGAATGGATCCTAGGCTTTCTGACTCCACAACCAAGACATGACTATTTCAGAAGTACTGCCAGATCCACTACCTACCTTTTACAACTTGTATCTTCTGTCTCCTTTACATGATTTAACTAGAACCAAGCCATGAATTTAATACATATACTTTCTCCTGAAACATAACTACTATGATTTAAAGTGTATCACTCTGAAAATTAATCATATTCAGATCTGTTAAGGACATTAACATTGAAAGTAAACCTCCAAAGAGTTTTCTTTCTCTTTTCCTAAGCACTATGTCTAAAGCAATTTGCTCTTTTAATAATAAAGTTTTAAAATTGAAGGATTGTCCCTATGGAAGGTTATTGGATTTTAAACCACTCATGGAAGGAATGCCTAAACTAACTGGCTTTTAAAATTTTGTTAAATTTTCAGAGAAGAGTTTTACACATAGGTTTCAATTAGAAAATTAAAATTAAATTAGTATGCGAAAATGAAAACATACAAAGAAGTTCAGGATTATTACCTATCTGGATTTTTTTACTTTGAAATAATTTTAAATACACAGAAATGTTGCAAAGAGAATACAGAGAGTCCCATGTACCTTCACCCAATTCTTCCCATTGTTAACAGCTCATATGACCACAGCAAATTTGTTACAATTAAGAAATCAACACTGGTATATTCCTGGTAACTAAATTACTGACTTTACATGGATTTCTTAAGCTTCTCCATGAATGTTTTTATTTCTGTTACAGGATTCAATCCAGGATACCACATGACATTTAACCTAGAATTATTTTGAAAACTAGGGGAAATAGATCATGCAATCTGCATGGCATTGTGAAAGCCACATACAATACCCATGTGAGATTTAAAAGAGTTGTTGAATATGGGACATTGCTAAAATGCTGGATATCTGCAGCCTAGTATCGACACCCTTGCCATTCTTTCTAAAATCTAGTTCTTCAGCTAAGATGAACACCTAGAAACTTGCTAGTGTTCAAAGAGAAAATTAGTTTTGCCTTTGTGCATACTTCAGTTTGTGTAACTCTTGTGTCATGCTCCAGGGTGATAGAACATAATGGTGAGTCTCCAAGCTGTTCAGTAATAGCGATCCTCTGCCACTCTCCTGGAAAAGGGACTGTGTAGAGGCAGCTATTGCTTCAACTGAGGGACAGCAGTATGGGGCTCCCTCTGACTGTCCCCTAAATAACTGATTGCCAAGTGAGTCCAGGCCAGGAGGAGTAGTAGCCACTCCAGGCCTGCTTTTTGCCCGTCATGCAGAAAACAGATCTCCTCACAGTGATACAGGTGTAGAAGAGTCTCTTGCAAGTTGTTTCCCAGACTGCTGCTTTTTAAACACCATCAAATACCTGAACCCCTGGCAATTTGTTAAGATGCAAATTCTAATTAAGATACTTGGGGAAGGGGTGAGATTCTGTGTTTCTATAGGCTCTCAATGCTGCTAGACCTTGAGTCAAGTTTGAGTAGTGTCTAAAATAGTTTTTTTTTAAAAAGATTTACTTATTTATGCATACAGAACTGGGTGCAGGCCAGAGATGCAGGGACAGTGAGATGATTCACCAGAGATAGAGTGGGGAGCAGAACAGGTAGATCTATGACGTATACTGCTGAGGGGAGCAGTAGGCAAGACAGGAGAGGTCTGCTGAGACGTGGATCACCTCCGGGGCTGGGAATCAAACTCACACTGACATGGCTTTGGCTAGCTTGCAGTGCTGTGCTTTAACCTGCTGTACTATCAGGGAGGGCCCACTGTGTCTAAAATATTTTTTAAAGGTTTTTTTCTATGCCTCTCAGAGTATGAATGGTTTTTATTTTAGGCAAAAGTGGGAGTATATTTAAAAAAGAAATCTGGCGAAAAGTACCTGAAATATATTAGCTCTGGGCTGATATTGGAGTTTCCTTATAGAGACTGAGGTTTGGGGAGAAGGTAGATGTATTATCAAACTGCTCTGGTTTGAACCCCACAGGCCTGGAGTACTCAACAGATAATCAGTTTGTACAACGACTCAAAGAACTGCAGGCCTCCGCCGCCATAGAGAAGATTCCCTTGATTCCATCCACTCCAGAAGAGATGAGTGAAATGCTCCAGCTCTGCTCCTATGTCCGCTTCAAGGTGCCCCAGCAGGTAATGTGATCTCAGCAGCAGTATGCCTGCCCTCTGCCAGAGGCTCAGCGCACAAGTACAGCTTCCTTTTTGCTTTCCCTTACTAATCATCCAGTTGTTCTTTCTACAAGGATCTATACAGTGCCTATGATAGATCAGGCACCGTGCTGGCCACAGTGGTTAATAAAAGACAGAAGCTCCGTGGGCTGACACACACCAGTTGGGGAGGTGGACAAAAAACAAGTAAACAAAGAACTATAAATTATAATACATTTTATAGTGGAACGTGATGATAATACAGTGATTGAAAACAAGGAAGCAGGGGGAGGTTTGGTAAACTTCCTTAAGGGAACGTACATGCAGAGGAAGAAAAGCACTCAAGTCCATGGGGAATAGTGCCCAGAGGTGAGGGAGTGCGTGGACTGAGATGAGGTTGAAAGGATTAATGGAGGGTTGCAAAATGGACAGATGCAGGGGTGCAGAGTAGAGAACAAAACAAAACAAATGCCTGATGCTGGGCACAGGGTAGTGGGCAGCTTCTCACTGGTGTCATGTGTGGGCTTCTACTAATCAGATTCTAGCCATGCTCCAGCGAGTTGATTTAATTCAAAGCAGTTAGAACTGATCAGCCAGCATGTGGGAGTCCTGAGACTCTTACCAGGTAGATGAGAGATCTCACAGCAGCTGACGTGAACTGTGTATGTTACTTTGAGAGTCCTGAGGCAGGAGGAAGTGGGGGGTTGTGTTCCTTCTGGCCACAGTGCCTCTCCGGATCAGAGACCCAGGTCCAGTTCCGGCCTGTCCACATTTGCTGCAGCTTGGCCAGCCCTCAGTAAGGTTGTGTCAAATAATAAACAGAGGACTGTGGAACCCATCCCAGAGTTCTCCCAGTGGTTGATTTCTTCATTGTTTAAGAGGCCCATGATCTCCAACAGCTTAAATTTTTTTTTATCACAGTTTATTTTTACATCATTTTGTACATTTTTTTTTTCTTCATCTCAATTGTAATCCCCATGGGTTTCCCATCACCAAGTCATCCATGTGCCATCACCATAGTCCTGTGCACTTCCCCCTCCCCCCC